TTATTCTCAGACATATTGAAAATCTGTTGGAATTTTGCTATTGGCACTTGATGTGGGCCCTCAGAATATATCCATGAATCTTTTATACAGGGTGTCATCTGACTAAATAAAATCTGAATAAAAACATAATAGCAACTTTCACGTCTCCCTATGTATCGTAGAGTTTTTCGAGAGTTTTTTTCTTCATTTCTAGGTATCTATTCATATTTTTTCCATTGCTCTGAGTATTTTCTACAATGAACTTCGAATAAGAAAACCTATCATGATTATTTGAAACATATCTTCATAAAAAATCAAATATATATTATATGTGTTTTAATAAGCAGAAAAAGAAATGATAGCAATAATAACATCATTAACGAACACTATAATTGTAATTGTAATGTAATTGTAATGAAGTAATTTATATAGGCACCCAAAAAAATTATTGACGCAATAAATGTTCGAATTGGAGTCCTTTCATTTCGAGACATTTTAAAACTCGGTTTTCCATTCATTTATTGCCCTTGATACACTTATTTGCTGCATTGTTGCGGAATCATTCAAAATCCTCAATCTCGAGTCTTCCACATTTTTTATCTCTCTGCCAGCGTAAATCCTATTTTTCAATGTCCCCCAAAGAAAATAGTCCAACACAGTAAGATCTGGTGATCTTGCAGACCATCTTATTGTCCCATTATTTGTCTCGAAATGGAAGGACTCCAATTCTTTGTAGTTATGGTTCTCCGCGGTAGTTGAGTAGAAAGTTTTGTAGTAGTGGATAGTATACGTATAGGGAAGGTACAGACATTATTCCATACTCGGCAAATAGCGGCCAGCAGTGATTCCTATGTCCTGCAATAGCTTATAGCCCGCTTTTGAGTAATGAAGACTTTTTTTTGAGTTTGAAGTATTACCTCATAAAATTATACCATGATTCAAATGGGATTATATTAGACCATGAAAGGCACTCAATGAGGTTTCTATGTTTGCAAACTTTTCGAGTTGTCGCAGAACATACGTGTATTTGGATATTTTTTTGCACAGTTCATCTGAATGAGCGAACGAGTTGAGTAGTCCAAAGAGTTTTACGGTGCCACCATTTAAGAGTGTGTGATTTGCGAAAAAGTTCAGTTTTTGTGTTTTGTTTCTGTTCAGGCAGAGTAGATTATTACTATACCAGTGATTTGATATATTTTCCACATCCTCTTCAATGTATTTAAGAGTGTCTGTTAATTATTGTCGCATCATCAGCATACATGACAATAGTGTTCGGAAAAATGAGGTAAAATACATCATTGATGTAAACAAAAGGGGTCCCAAGACAGACCTTTGGGGAACACCATATTTCATTTTACGTAAGTCGGATAGTTTTCTGAGTTCTTCTTGTAAGATATGATTTTATCAGTTGGAGAGGTAAACCACTGACGCCATAGTGTTCAAGTTTTTTTTTATTAAAAGATCGCTCTACTGAGGTCTACAACTGTGATTGATGTATAAATACCTTCCTCAAAACCGTCGATGATGTTTTTACTACCGTATAAATGGCATCAAGTGTTCCCGGATTTTTCCTGAAACCAAACTGAAGTTTATGTATTAGACAATATTTCATTCATAATATTTCGACACAAGGTTGAAGAAACCAAAAACTCAAACAAAATGGTTGAAGAGCTGAACAAAAAATAACGAGTAAACAATATGTCGCTAAGTGGCAAGTCGACTGATACATTACTGTACACAGATGCTTTTTAAAAATATTGAATTTGAGCTCAAAGTGAGTAAAACTACATTAACGGTTGTGTCAAGTGCCTTAAAACATAGTAATCATAGAGAGTGAAATATTTTGTGTCGTAGTGATACAGTTGACAATACTACAATAGCAGAGTACATGTACAATATACCCTTTTTGATGCAGTCGCTAATTTAGTTGGCCCAGATAATATACTTGCTTTGTTTCCTAGTAATGGAGTGTTAAAGGTTTGCTAAAAATATTGTTATTTTTGATAATAAGTCGAAAGTCATCTCATGACATTGAATTACGGACAATAATTCCAGTGGCGTCACAGAGGGTTACTTAATTGATATTTATGGCAAAAATCATTGTACGGTACTGTTTTTTTCAAGTTTCAAGTTTGATATGTTTATCAGATTGAACGCTTAATAAAGAAACTTGTTTGGAGAAAAGCTTTTCTACAAATGCACAATGAAAAAGTAATAGTTTGATCTAGGTTACTCTGTAACACATTCAAAATATTTCTGCACGAGATTACCTATTTTGTATCCGCGTCAGAAATCTCACTCAGAGAATCTAGATGTCTCCGAACCGGATATAATGATATCAGGTCAGACAATTCCGCTTTCTGCTTCGATAAGTTTGTTGGGGGTTAAAACCGACACAATTTGGCACAATCATGTCACTTGAATTGCAAAGGCTGCTTCTCAAAAGCTTGATACACTGTTCCGAACATGACAACTATACACACCTCAGTTACTTTTGATGTTTTATGAAGCTCAGATCAGGCCTTCCTTGGAGTATTGTTCTCATGTATGGAGCTCTAACCACAAACATACCCTGAACCTGGAACATCGAAGAAAGGTTCGAGATTTGTCTGTCTTCAATAGATACTTTCACGGGTGGTGTGACACATTTGATTCCACCAAGAGCGGTACATATCAGAAATACGCCACGGACTCTGGCTGCTCATCCGTTTGAGTTGAGTTTCAACTCAGTACACCTGTTTAAGAACTATTTCATCTGGAAAACTGCATTTATGTGGAATAAACTTGCCGAGGACGTTTTTCCACACGGATTTAATTTCCAGCGATTGAAATTCAATGTGAATCGTTACTTTCCTACAGGCACCGCTCTAAAAGTGCCTTTAGGATTTTCTTGTAGTGCTTGTGTTTTGTCCTTAAAAGTAATCGTATAATGAAAGAAATTAATTTTTCATATTCAGTGCATTTGTATAAAAACTTTTTCTTAAAAATGTTGCTTTATAATTTTTATTTTTGAATATTGTCGAATCAAAGTATACGTCAAAATGGTTAAGGCTTTCGCGGTCGACGTTTTCAATGTTTAAACGTGAAATGAAATTACAAAGGCAAGAAAATTAAAAATTGAACAATCAAGAATTGAAATAGTTTTCAAACTAAGTTGTATCACGACGTTTCGATTGTTAGTATCCACAATCGTCTTCTTTCCTCTCTCCGCTTTACCGGTTTAGCAGGAGTTGACCGTTTTTCCGCTTGATTAAAGGTTTTCATATGTTGCGGATATCTACGTTGACTTGGCTGAATGCGTCGTTGGACAAAATATATGCAGCTTCTTTGAACGTCCTCCCAAACCAGTCTTCCTCCCTGTGGATGATCTCAGCTTGGGATTACTTGGTGTTATGTTGATGAGCCCAAACATGCTCTGCTATTCCTAATTTGCTGGTTTTTCTTCGCTTAGTGTTTCTCTGTTTCTCTTGTGCTCGACAATGCGGACTTCCAATGACCTCTTAGTTCCACCGGTATAGGATTTGCCGCATTCACAGGGTATCCGGTAAATTCAGTTCTTGGAGTCGCAATCCGCATTTGTTGACCTGGTTTTCATGCTACGGATGGTGTTTCCGGATCTGAAGCAGGTTCTGATGCAATAAGGATAATTTCTAATGCGGAATATCAGGACACATGTCGTTCGTTGTTTAAACAATTGGGAATCATGACTCTTCCATCGATTTTCATTTTTTAGTCACTGCTGGAGGTTCATAAAATTGAGGGCACTTTTTTAACTAACACCCACTTTCATAACTATGGAACATGTGGTGCTAATCTTACACGACCTGCTAAATTCAATCTACATAAATCCTCCAAGAATTCCTTAGATGTTAATCTATACAATATCTTGCCAACTACAGTCAAGAACTTATCACAGACACGTTTTCAAAAAGGCATAAAAAATTCTCATTGATGAAGGCATTTATAGTACATATGAATATATGGCTGCTTCCATGGTAATGCCCGGATTTATCTCTTGAGCCAAAGTGCGTGTAATAATATCTTTCAAAATTTATTGTATTTTGTTATACAGCTGCTTGTAATAATTTATTAAAAAAAATAGGTCTCCCTTTTGGGTGCCTTGTGTTTTTGTTATACTGTAGTGTTGATGTTTTTCTTTCTATTTAGGTATTCATTCAATTTNTATTTAGGTATTATTCAATTTTAAATGTTTGACTTATCACCTGACTTGCTACAAATGTTTATTACATATACGTATTCAAATAAACTTTCTATCTATCTATCTATCTATCTATCAATCTATCTCTGTATCTATCTATCTATCTATCTTCTATCTATCTATCTATACTTGGACCCAATTCTTCTTTTTTCGACAATCCTCTGACATAGAGAAGAGCAAGCACTGGTTGTGACGACTTCTCTTTCTTGTGAGCTTACTGCTATATGATGGAATTGGCCGATATTTCATGAAAATTCATAACGTATTCAAAAAACAATTTATTGTGAGATTTTCACTGAACAGTTTTACAAAAACGCAACACGTGTTTCGCCATACAATGGCTTCTTCGGGTGTGTCTTCACTAACTGAATTCCACATATCAATGCTTAATATATCTAATTTTACGATTTGAAGTATTTAAATTTCAATTACCCGAGTTTTACCTAGGTATTCAACGTTTTATGTGTACTTGAGTTTGTAATGAATTGAATGACCTGAGTTCATGTACTATTTGTTGAACTGCGCCTTGAAATATCATCAAATAGATACTGGGCAATTAAATTAGGCACACCTTGATAAACGTTTTAATAAGTAATCACTTCGTCGACATAACATACAACATGCAACTCACACGAGTACAGAGCTAAAAAACTAACAGTATTTGATGCGGACTTTATCGGTGACACTGTATAATCGACAGCTTTGAACTGCATGGAAAACATCGGATTAGGCACAGCTACAAGTGAAATTCTTCATATTATTCAGTTATTCATCGAATCAAAAAATAATAAAACATTTTTACCATGTGAATCTTTGTCGAATCCTTTAATGCAACAACTGAAAAAACACATGTAGACGACACTCGACAAATCAGCGTAAAGTCTGACTGTTAAATTGTGGAGAACTCCGAAAAACACTTTGAGTTACCAACACATTTGTTTGAATTTGTGTATCGTTTATAGCCGCCCTTTCGAGAGCCGTTGTTTGTCACAAGCACCCACTGTGAAAATAGTAAACACGGAGCACATTTGAACTATTAACATATGGATCGGACGAATGCAGCTTTTTGCTTTATTTGTCGCTATAGTCCCGGAACCCTCCAGTGAGCGATTAGCACTATATATATTAGCTGTTTTAGGATTCTCGTCGACAATGTGTTGTTGGTTGGATTAATACTCCCAGCAGTATATGCAAGTTTTATATAAGAATTAAATTGGGCGAACTGAAGATTAACGAGGTTTTTCGTTTTAACGTGCGATTTCCAGAACGACAAAAACTGTAGATTCAAAACATTCGGTTTGATTCTATTTCTGTTGTAAAGAGTAATAAATTCTGTAGTTTATTTCATTTGAGTTTTTAAACAACCAATTGTTTGAATGTGTTTGTATATCACTCCTTACACTATGGGGTGATCGATCTCGTCAAAGGAAGGAAAGCCCATAGAAGCTCATAAGTGGCATTTTCGTTTTACCTAAAACTTTAAGTACTCACCCTGATCACCAGAGGGCAGTGCGATGTTAGTATTTAAAATAGGTGTCAACGGAATTGGGTAGCTAACAGTCGCTGACAACCAGTCGGTCGGATCATATCGAAGTCGGGATGTACGCCAAAATTGAATATTAAATTATAAAGCCAATATTTTGTCAGCGGCTGCTATCCAGTTCAGTTTGTGATCACATTAAATACTGACATCATACTGCCATCGCCCCCTGGTGGTCAGGATGATTAATAATCACTTTAGGTGACAAAATCAAAATCAAAATCAAAATGTTCTTTATTAACTATTCTCCATACAATTTTAAGGTATTTTTTTTGTGGTGTTTATAAAATATATACAATAAAAAATATATATACAAATATACAAAATGTACACAAGGGTTTCCCCAATGGAGTGGGACAGTGGGAAGGATTGGGATGGGTAGTGAATGGGGTAGAGGGAGTGGCAGGAAAAGACCCCGATACATTTGCGCTCTCAAGAATTCCGCACGGAAGAGAAAAGCGCCTCCACACAGTCCCCCGATGGGACAGTGGGAGACGCCCCCGCTGGTGTTGGCGGTTGGCTCTCCACTCAAAAACGCCTTATATCAGCCTCATCTATAGTTTNTTCTACGTCTGTGATCCACTTTATCAATGTTTGCTCCGGTATAATTGGAGCCGGCCTATTTCTGACTTCATTAGCCAGTCTGGTTTTATTGGTGTGTTCTTCACAGACATCCGGTTCAACTCGGTGCACGCTGGAAAAATATTCCCCGAACAACTGAGCCTTTTGATGGTCCGTCACCGCGTGCGCTTGCCCGCTTTCTATGGTAGGAGTAGCCTCAGACCGATTGCTCAGTTTTTTGGCCATCCTCCACACAGAGTGGTCGTGCACGTTCAGGCTTTCGAGTTTGTTCTTCCACTTCATATTGGTGAACTCATAAATTCGCGCATTAACTTCCGCAGCAAGTATCAGCATTTGATCCTTGCTGCGGGGGTCTCCTGTGCGCTGCCAATCTTTTCTGGCTCGATGTTTTTGCTTTATAAGCTCAACCACATCATGCGGAAGAATATCTCGCTCCCCTTTCACCTCTATCTTCCTGGTAGAGACGTCACGAGATTTTTGAATATTCTTTATGAATTCTTCACAAACCTCGTTGATCCGTGATTTGGAAATGTTGTCTCTTATAGTTGTGAGGTTATTCATGGTCGATCTAAACTCCGCCCAGTCCGTGCTCTTGTAGTCATATTTCATTTTTTTATTGTTGGGTATCTCCCTTTTGAGATCAAAGAGCACTATAGGTGACAGGAAAATGCCACTTCTGAGCTCCTATGGAATTTGTATTCTTTGATTATAGGACGATAACTGGCAATAGTGTGTGATAAGCACAGAAATTATTTTCAACTTCAATTGTCATTCTGTTTATAGTAGTTCTATGTAACCTTATGGTCAGGTAGTATAACCTGTTGAATCACATGTGCCGGTCATTACAATATACATTTTTTACCAAAATGCTATGAATCATGTATGAATTAATGTATAAATGGGAATAATTCACGGTCTTGACGTCTATTGTTGTGTAATATGTCTCCACTCTTATCTATGTGAACATATAATGTTGATATGCTTTTCCGAGGGTTCTTATAATATCAGTGCATTGCAGCCTCAACGTCACTATAAGTCATAACTTGAACTATTGAATTAAATTCATGATTTGTACTTTCTCTCTGTTGTCTCTATGTTGTCGTTAAGTTTGGTGTTGAACCACGTCTGGAGTTCTGTATTCGACGTTTCGGCTCCCATTTTGGAGTCATTTTCAAGAATTCCATGTGACTTGATTCCGGGGACTCAATCTGCCTACTCCCCAGGACTTGTCATGAGTTCTCTCTAAGGTATCAATCTGCCTACTCCTTAGATAGAATAGTTCCACCTAAAGAGTAGGCTCATTGAGACCTTAGAAAAAACTCATGACAAGACCTAGGGAGTAGGCAGATTGAGGCTCCGGCGTATTTTTCTTCACGTCATTCTGGACCAAATGAGACATCTTTCATATTTTCAATAGCTTTATTTTTTGTCTTAATTGTTTTTAATAGACTTACTTAGACTATTAGTCGTTCTGTAAGCTACGTCTACGTATTATTTTTACAAAAAACAGGCTATATTATTAGTGGGTTCACCAAAATGTGATAATGTCCTATAGCTGACCTTATCGTATTTTGAATTTGGGTAGAACTAGTCCATGGCTTGCTTTTGTACTTTTTTGGAAAGAATGGAGTCTATAATATATACATTATAACCGTAGTTGACCGCTATTTGTTTGATGAAACTCTCTCCGAAAATTACTCTCCGACAATGGAATATCCCATAGTCTGTGAATATTCTATTGATTGCAGCTATATTATGCTGGTAAGGGTGTGTGAAGGAATTTTGTTCGTATAAGATGGTTTTTGGAAAATTGCAAATTCATGTTTATTATTAACTGTAGTGATAGACAAGTCAAGGTAATTCATTGAATTATTCATCTCCCTTTTAGTAGTGAATTTAATTGACGAGTGAGTGTTACTGACATTTTTACGACGAACTTACCTAATTGCCTATCTGTACCAGTGAAACAGACTAAGATATCATCCATGTATCTGTACCAGTACAAGAAACTGATCAATATGGATTTCATTCTCTATGTTATCCATTAAAATTATCCATCATTAGTCCTTCACTGCATGAATAAAATTTTTCGTCGAATTGGAAATAATTTTGGGATAGACGAATTGTAGGTGAATCTAAAATTTTCTGTTTTATCAGTAGATTCATATGGTTTCTGTACAAAATTGTTTAGTGAAAATCTCACAATGAAGAGTTTTTTGAATACGAGGTTGTCCTCTAGCCAAAATCTGTTCTATCATTACTTTAGAGTAACTATTCCATTGAAGATCGTTTTTGATGATGCCTAGTCCTTCTCGAGACCTTCCTCCGTATTACAGAACTCGAAAGCACGATCCACTAGAGTCTTGATGATAACTCTCTTGATAGACTGATTGTGATTCAGATACTATGCCGGGTGAGTGCGTTTGTTCAATTTTTAATTTTTTGCTTATTGTGATTTCATTTCACGTTTCATTGTTTGGCATTATTGTTATTCAAATTATCTAAGAACAATTCGTTCAGGCCAGTCTTAACTCCCTACACGGTAGGTTAATAAACTGACATCTATCAGAAAACAACTACTTCCCTGGCTAATAGCACGAAGGGCGTTGGATTATATCCGACAGGTGTCAGTGCTATTCCCTTTAATATTGATATTATATGATATTAGTATCATATTTGATAATGTACGAACTAGTAAAGTACGAACTAGTAAAATTCACATAGAACTAATGTTTTAACCGCCAGTAACTTGCTTTTTGGACAAGGAAATGTGAACACTTTTCCCACACCAGAACAGAATACTGTCTGTAAACCCGCCATCCGCTAACAAAGTTTGTGCTATGAGAGGATGACTAGATTCAAATTAATAGCAAATGAATGTTTCATATACTTACATCCGGATCTATCGTCACTGAACTTTAATTGAATAAATCCCTGAAATAACTTCGTATGTACCTGCAGGGCCTAATGTTAATTATCATTTGATACCTAATCTTTCACACGTTTTCTACCTACGTACATGAGTTTTTTGTATCGTGCTCGCAAAGCCATTAATCAAACTCTGAAACAGGGATAAATTTCCCCAAATTTTGGCAAAACAGTCACCACATTGAAACTCAAAGCCGCTCCTGACTGTTTTATGTCCTTTCAAATTAACATAACAACATCCTGTTTTGTGGAAAAATGCAGTGAATTCTTATGAAACAACAAACATACTTTGATACTTTCGTACAATTCAAATACGAATCTGAAGTTGTGAGCTTTGTATTGAGAAGGCAACGCTATGTTAATGAATATTACTTCCGTTTTCATTTTCACGTTATACTCCATGTACTGATTTTCATTTCTGCAAATTTTTCTAGGCGACGTCGTAATTCTAGTCAATCGGTCAAAAATAAAGAAGAATGAATTGAGTGAATTGAAATGTAATAAATGGAATACTTGATGATAAGATAACGTTGTACTATTTCGTTTCGTTGTACTATATAT